AAGTTCTGCGCACGGCAGGGAGAGAATGCCTACGTGCCCTCAAGACTTTTGGCGTTATGAAAAGAGAAGTTCGTTTGGATCTATAGCGAATCAGAACTAAAAGGTTCTTTAAAAAATGACCACTTCGGGTCGAACACGCACCATGCGCAGCCCTTTAAACGTCACCAGAGTACATATTTCAGTAGCCGAGTCCCATGAGACGTTTTTCCGTAGACGATCTGCAGCTAGGACTTTCCTACATATCAACAGTCTACATTCTCATGGCAGATCTTAACCTACGACTATACCATGTTCATCTTCGCTAGGCCGAGATGACACGGATCAGAGCATGGCAATGTGTTCATGACTCCTCGATTGTCTTGTAAAGAGGGATCATTTCTTCAATGACATTTGGTTTAGTGCAAAGCCCATTTTCACCCTGCGGGATAATATGTTAATTCCAAAAATGCTGTCTATTGGGCACCCCACTCTATTGTCTCTAGAAGCCACTTCTTAGTGAACATGTACAGTGTATGTGGCTTTAAAAACTCACGGTTTAGCAGGTCCTTGTGTTAGGGCGCCATTGAACATTTCGAACGACTCGTTAAAAATGTGTCGAGTCTAAAGGAGGGAACGTGGAGCACTGCTTCTAGGAATTTCAGAATGGAATCTTTGGTTTTTAGAACTCTGTAAAAGAAATTAAATATTGTTTAAATGTCACAGGGATGGAAAATTAATGTCAAGGAGAAAAAAAAGAAAAAGGTAAACTAATCTTTTCACGATTTCTTTCACAAGATTTTTAAGCATTGGTGAACTTTGCGTTTTGGGGTGCTTTTTTTGTTTTAGCCGTTTCTGTTTTCAAAACATGTTTCTTCTTCGTGGAGTTTATATCAAACAAATTCCTTTTGAATGAATTATGTCTGTTCCAAATTACAGCATTCTAAAACAATTTTTGCGCGAAATATTCAGAAAAAAAGTTGTTAAGTCTTTTTTGGATCACCCTGTATTTCCCAGAACTCTGGAGACAGCCAGAAAGAGTGAAAGTGTGTGTGCGTGTGTGTGTGTGTGTGTGTGTGTGTGTGTGTGTGTGTGTGTGCGAGAGAGAGAGAGAGAGAGAGAGAGAGAGAGAGAGAGAGAGAGAGAGAGAGAATCAGAATCCGAGAGGCGATAAGACTAGACTATAAATTATAAAATCTCAACTTTTATCTACCCCAGCGACAAACACTAGAAAAACGCGCCAACAACGGGAGGTAATTAACCGGCCGACAGTAGCAGACGGTAGTTTGGATCAACACGTCAGTCAGGAAAGACACGGGTGCCAGACGTGTGGTAGTACAGAGATAAGCTCAGAATCTAAGACAGCCCGACTATAATAATGTCTTGTGTATTTAATTTTTTTCGGCGGTTCATCCCAATGGCAAGGGCGAGGTGCTGAGGTGCTGAGAAGCACGATCGAAACATTCTGGGCTGGATTAGAGGCTCTTTCTTTTTTTCTTTTTTT